TTTGACTGTTAGGCACTAAGATAGTGGTTGTGTGGATCTTGAAGCATTACCAAATATATATGATGTATATCTAATGATTAACTGGATTAAAACCCCATGATTTTCCAGTCCAGCTTTTCACTCACTCCTTAGATGAACGGGAACTTTACCGGGTAATATTCCCGAAACTTCTGAACGGTTGGGATGAAAAATTGACATGTCTCAATCTGAAACTGCAGAATGCTTTTTTTTTTAAAGATTATTTACAGCCAATTTTCACACCTGTCTTTGCAGAGAAGTTTCAATCTAACGGAGTGAACAAGTCTTTACTTTACTGAGATCCAGTTCACTCAACTTCACTTTTGTCTTAAGGACAAGAACTTAGAAATGTCCTATCTTTAATAACGAGTTTAACTCCACATCTCACGGGTGGTTATGGTACTCGACTCACAATCAGAGGGTCGCGGGTTCGAATTCCGCCACCGAACATGCTCGCTCTTTTCAGTCTTGAGGGTGTTATAATGAAACAGCCAATCCCACTTGGTACAGAGTTGTCTATGTAACTGGTGTTGACTCTCTGCCTTCCCTCTAGTAGCTTTACACGGAATTCAATAAAACAAACAAACCATTTTTGGAATTATGTATTTCCAATAGCATAACAATTATCTAGATGTAATTTATAACAATTCATTCTACAGGCGTTTGTAATTAAGATGTTTATTAATAAATAATTTTCTTAAACGAACTGTTTGATGATGCTTTCACTTTTGATCAATTTCTTTAAAATATCATAGTGTATTTGGTTGTCTAGTTGTATGTTCTATAAGCTAAAACCATACCAACGTAATATTTTTTATAGGTTTTGTGGGTTTCAGCTTATATAACTGCGAAAGGTGACATTTAATAAATCTGTAATTAGAGGGGTACTTAGTAGAGAGCAGACCTTCTCTCCGCAGCTTCGATCACATTTAACCCTCAAAAATACGAAAATGTCACCGTATGTCCGTCGTTACCAACGAACACAGACTTATTTTTCGCGGAACAACGAGGAATAATATTGTACATATGTCCTCCTAGTTTCATCAAAATCCGATCATTTTTGACTGAGCTATAGAGCAAAAATAGTGTGAAAAATCGGTTCCCATGTTAACAGATAGTGATTTTGGGTTTTTTCATGGGCTTGCTGTGACCTAGACCCTCCAAAAAGCTAATCATCTCTAAGTTAGGTCATAGTCCAAATGTGAAAACCGGAGTGATAAAGGAAGGTTAAATAATAATAACTAAACACAGAACAACCTCGTGAAGTAGCGATTCAATTAAATATTTTTTGCCAGTGCATTGGGCAGCAAACAAGTTCAATCTAATTCCTGATACATTCAGTAATACTGTATCTTAATTATGTATGTATTAAGCACAAATAGATGCGAACACGATAACACCAAGTTACTAACTTGGGTAGAGCAACAAATGGCAAACAGAAGATTAACACAACCGTCCTGCCGTAAAGATAAAATAATATACATATATTTTGGTTAATAATACCGAAATATTTCCTTTAAGTTTAAAAGAAACATTGAGTAACATCAATAAAGCTTAGAACAATGTTTAAATGTATGGCGAAAATATGGACTTCTGGTAATTTGATACACTAGTCATTTAATTAAAACATTATAAATTTAATATTGAACCGATAAAAATAATTAAAATGATACTAATGTGATACTTCAACAATCAACAACGTCGAGCCTTTCACGAACACAAGTAATATCAAGCTTTTAAATACTATATATTATAAAAAAACATTTTCATGAACAATCAGAACTGACCAAGATACTACTATCTAAACAGTTGACAAGAACTATAATACCGGTATTTTATAAAGCGGGATAAATGCGAGCCGGAATGATAAAATACACCGTAAATGTAATCAAAAACAGCATAACTGTAAACAAAAGTTCACGGCCAAAATGAGAAAATATTAATGATTAAAATTTTATGTAAACTACTGTGACATTCAAGATTTTACATAATTTGTACAGTATGCATAACTATTACAAGAAATCACGTGGGCTGCTGTTTTATGTTTAACTACGCACCGACCAAATTTGCTTTCAAACTAGGGGAACATATATGCCAGCTATGTTCTAAATTTGAAATAAATTAATTAAGTTTGATTTTTTCACTGGTGTGAAGAAGAAAACAAAGAACTTCAGGCTAAGTTTAGCCTGCTGGAAAACGATAACTGTTAAAGCTATTCCTTTAAAATTTGGCGTGTAAGGTAAGGAGGCCTGAGAGACCTATCATACAAACAATGGGAGTGGTTATACGAACGGTTGAATAACTCAAAGTTTTCATTCCTGTTGATAACACATTGGGTATTGTGCGGTTTAGTTTGTTTTTGGCCGCTCGACACCCTACCGTATGTCTTGATTACCGAAAATAAATTATATATATATTTTCTTGGTGACTATTAATTCATATACAACATCATGATACGTGTGCGAGGACCTTGTCGGCTTCAGAGCGTACGAGAAACGTATTTAATAATTACATACATATGTTACAGACTTCTCCATTTTACCAGAAGTAAAAATGAAAGGAGAATCTATGACGTAGAGTTCTAACGTTTTCTTTGATTGGCTAAGGTACTGCTGTAGACTAAGTTTCACCTATTAGAGGCTCATCAGCACAAATCAGAATGACAAATGAAAGAGATATAGTTAGGCCTCTTATAACCGTGACTTGTATATAATATTAATGGGTTTTTTTTAAGTCCTTTTCAATCACCAATAAAGTAACCTAAAATAATTTAGGTATTTGAATAATGTTAGAGCTCGTGCGTAAACATTTATTATACATTGTATATCGGACCAAGTATTTAATGATTACAAATTTCTTTTCAATTTCACTAAAGGTAAAATTGAAAGGAGAATCTGTGACGCAGAGGCTCAATGTTTTCTTTCATTGGCTGTACCCTCTGCTGTGGACTCCAGTTTCGCCTAATGACGGCTCATCAGCGCAGCTTGGGCTGACAAATCAAAGAAATACGTGTTTGTTGCCACTTTCTTCCATATTTATCATAAAAAACACATTCAGAAACACGAGAGAAAGCTACTATTTTGTTTGTTTGTTTTGAATTTCGCGCAAAGCTACACGAGGGCTATCTGCAGTGTAAGACTAGAGGGAAGGCAGCTAGTCATCACCACCCACCGCCAACTCTTGGGCTACTCTTTTACCAACGAATAGTGGGATTGAGCGTAACATTATAACGCCCTACTATTTTGACTGGGATTTAGTTCTTTTCGGTAATTAGTCCTACCCCTGTCCTTTCACTCACTGTTTAAATTACGATTTCAGTGACAGCGGAGGGGGGGGGGGGGGTAAGGTGCCGAGAAACCTTGTTCATGTAGTGAATAATAGCGCTTGGAGACAGCTTGAATGGGTAATGAAAAAAAAACAACAACTTTAATATAAGTTTAACATAACAGCAAATGTACAACGTTTCGACAAGGTTTTGTTATCATCAAGTAAAGAGGTAGTGTGGGATCACCTAGCCTCGAGCCAAGTGCATGAAATTTATGATGAAAATAAAAATATCGATTCAATTTTAAACTTAAATCGTTTCTGAATTAAGTTATTTTATGTTATATCACCAACGTTTTTAATTAAAAAACAAACTTCTTTAACCAATAGAGACCCTAAATTAAGAAATAAAAAATATTTTTCCAGTTTTGTTGTCTATACATTTCATTACACAGTACACAGACCAACAACAATATTAGGTTATACTTTTGTTGCTAAGTAACATGACATAAAAGCCATTGTTGGAACGTAAGTGTTACCAAAACGCACTTGCATTTTCATATATTAGAAGTTGTTAATCTAACCGATTTTTACGAATAATTATTGTATGAATAAGCCACGAATTCATTTCATGAATGATCTTAATTTTGATTGGCTCACAAAGGAATTTACCGACGTCTGACTGCATTTTGCTGCCTCTTTGTTGGTCAAGCTTGATTTTGCAAAAGTTATTTATTTCACTTAGCTATGAAATGTGATGTCATGGTATCCTATGGGGGTGGGGGGGGTAGTACTTGCCCCGTCATTTTTGACGGGCTATACGTTAGTTGTTTTAGAGGATGCGTTATGGTTTACCCGATTTTTAAGTTACTCGAGGGCAGAAAATTTATATTGTAATAAATAAATTCATAAATAAACACTTCGAAAGTTGAAGATATATATATACATAAAATTCTAAAGACGCATGTATAATCAGTCTTAATATTACGAGATGAAAGAACGCATGCGCACTACAGCTCTAACATTTGTTCGTTTAACGGATTTAAATAAATAATTGTGTGTGATTTGGTATTTCTACGCATCGTAACGTAGTGTGATAATCGTATTTATGGTGAGTTTAAAAGTGAAAATTGACAGGGTCAACACGTACATTTTAGTTAACTACGGTAAGATACCTATTCATAATTTAAGGTTTAAACGCCAAAACCTGTCGAAGAATTAGAAACAAACATACTAAACTTTATGATAAAAAACTACGTTAACTTCTTGTATTAAGTAGGATTTTGAAGAATATTTTGTTTTTCATCGTTCAAAACAGCTGACGAGTATTGGTATTAATTGAAAGGCCTCTTGGGCAGCGACTTGTGTGAGACAAATGACAGATGTGAAATGCAATTTTCACACGATTCTGAGTTTGAATTCACAATGGGCAAATTAAGAGTAATGTGAGAAAATCTAGTCAATGTGATTTTTATCAAAAATTTTAGACCTATTCATAATAACCGTGTACTTTTTAGCCATTTTTAACAAAGTTCTAAGATTAATTATATTTACAAATTACAATTATTGTAGATACAAACTTAGATTAATTACGTAGATAAAATGACTCAACTTTTATCAATCAGTTTATTGGTATAAAATTAATCTAAAAATATGTTTTGAGATAACATTTTTTGTTCAACATTTTATTAACTTGTACTAAACTAGTATAACTATACCTTCTGTGCTTTACACATGGCTCCCAAAGCTTGTACATCGTGGTTTGTAT